ATTAAAATGAACTTTATGTAAACATAGGATCTCTCAACTATTTGATCTGTGCCCTCATTAAATAGTTATGTGGTATAAGATTTCCCCTTTAAACACCACATTTACTCTGGGAAGAACACTTGATAGAGCAGGTGTTCCCAAACTTTTGTGGGAACAACCCTATTTTAATGCATTATTTCCTTCCAGGATCCCAGACAGCATGGAGGATATCATTTTGTAGAGCAAAATGTCATCCTCCACACAGCGTGACCTTGCACACACCAGACACGTGAGGTCATGCCACATGGAAGACACTATTCTGCTCTGGAAAATGGCATCCTCCATGCATCGTAACCTTGCATGCACCATACATGCGAGATCATGCTGTGCAGAGCAAAATATCATCCTCTACACACTAGGGATTGCCGTGACCCCATCTTCTGACTGCATGACCTCATCTGGGGTTGCAACCCACACTTTGGGAACTTCTGTGATAAAGACATTATGTGACTACATCTACATCAGTGGAGAAAGGAAGCTAAACAGCCACCCCCTCCAAATTATGTCACAAATGACCAAGTCACACCTGTGAGTAGCTCAGTAACGAACCTGCAAATGTATCTAAATAGCTTTCAGAAGATGTTTGAGAAGCCAACAGTCAGTTCTCTAGCAATCTAATTCAAACCTTTAGTTCAAAACACTCAAATTGTGGAAATTATAAAATATTAATATGCAAGTCAAAGGAAGGAACACCCACACAAAGGGCTGGTCTACACTAAAAAGTTAGATCAGCATAGCTACATCTCTCAGGGGTGGGAAAAATCCACACCCTCATGAGATATAATTAAGCCTACCTAACCCCCAGTGCAGACAGCACTAGGTTGATGGAAGAATTCTTCTGTCAATCTAGGGACTGCCTCTTGCGGAGGTGGATTACCTACAGTGACAGGAGAACCACTCCCAATGCAGTATTCAGTGTGTACACTGAAGCACTAAGCAGGACAGCCGCAGCACTGCAGTTCTGCCGCTATACTGTTTTAAATGTGGACACAGCCTAAGTTACCTAGTGCTGTAGAGTCTTACATGCAAATTAGAATAAAAACTACAGCTACAGCTGAGCCCATATGGAAGATGCACACAGAACACTGGGAATGTTTATTTAAACAATTAGAGCACTAGGCTTGTTTTGGGTGTGTGGAAAGGATGGTTTTGGGTTACTTTTTTCTTTGTTCACAAATATAATTGACTTTCAAATTACATATCTTCATATCAAGACACAAACAAGACAGTCATACATACATTACATGGCAAAACAAAGTGCTCTTTTACTGTTTAGACAAATCCAGAATTTGGCAGTACATAACCAAAAAGATTTTTGCAACCTACAATAAGGTGGGTCAACTAAAACGTTCTACTTGTCCTCCAATGTCCAACAGACATGGGAACACTGGTAACTTACATTTTGCTCCTTTGAGCAAACATTGACAACATTTAATAATATGGCATTGGTCCCTAAAAGCTTTTTGATATACTGTACATACAACCTAAAGATCTTTTTAAACTGTAGGCCATTTGCACAAAGCTACTTGCTAAACAGAGTGATTAATATGCGAAGCCTGAACCTGTGAACATGCCAAAACTTTCACATGATATCTGTGACTGAAATTGTATGGACACTGAATAAACTGGTTATCAGCAGTGTTCCCTTTATTATGAAAAGAATATTCCTCTCAATGCTTACATTTCATTTCACTTTTCATCCACTAGAGTCATGATTGTGCACTCTGCCTTTCAAGTATGTAATGAAGTGACACTTGCATAAAAGTGAAAGCAAATGTGTGTGCATCACAATGATTGTTGACAAAATTTAGATTTGACAACATGCTTATTGTGGTCATAAATAGCGTCCACAGATTCCACCATCAGGTTTAAGCTATGCAAGTTAATACCACATGAACAAAATAACTCTGAACTGGATGGTAGTTCAGATGATTGACCAGTACTAATTTGGAAAACAAAGAAATAGTGGCATAGTCAGGTTTCAAATGAAATAATTCTGATAAGATATATATGGGAAAGTCTTTATTACTTCCTATATTTAATCTAATTATATTTAATATGCTGCAAATATCTCTATAAAGAGAAAAATTACAGTGGGTGACATCAAGGCTGAGAAGGAAGGTACTGTCACAATTCCTACTTTCTGTATATTTGTTGCTTTATCTAGATTCAGCCGCTGGATTTGTTCATCAAAACACAGAAGTTACAAGATCCCTATAACCTCATGATATACCTCCCTTTGTAAGAAGTACATGTAAACACACACACTATTATGACCTGCCATTAATATGGAAACTTAGTTCTCAAGTCAGTTCAGCATCCCTACTGCCTTCAAAACAAGTATTCACCTGCCCTTAGTTAACAGGAGGCAAGTGCAAACAATGAAAGAGGAGGTCACCTCCTGTTAATCCTATTTGTCAATAGGCTCTTAGTCTTCATGAAGTGGTCAACACTACATTAATCCCAGAGATGTATCAAGTAAATCCATAATTTGTTTTAGATAGCTAAAAATAGAAGTCATTTAGGCATGACCATCATTTCAAAATCCTTATGACATGATTATAAAGCTATTACGAGAGAGAAAGAGGACTTTATATTTAATAAAATCACATTTTTACTCCAAATTAAAGTGGAAAGAATTTACCATTTAACATTTTGCTGGACTCCAAATGTTTACTCAGAGTAATAAGAAAAACCAATTTATGTATGACACATGACATTCACTTAGCTATACTGAAAATGGGAAGTGATCAAGTTTTTTCCTATTCTACCTGGTGAATGAGGAAAGATGTTTCTTTAAGCCAGTTGATGAGTTTGCTTACATCAAATAAGCATTGACATTTTAGGAGCTAGGGAGAGAACACGTAATATCTTTAGGGATGACCTGGTTCATATTATGGGAAACTAAACACAATCGACAACGTGTATGCACATGCTCCAATCGGAGGATATTTTATGAGGTGGACAATATGGTGTGGAATCTCAAATTCAAAGTTGGGGATTCAGAAAGCCCCACGTTCTGATGACTGACTTGATGTGTGACCTTATGAAAGTCCCGTCATTTCTCTGCCTCAGTTTCCCCATCTGTAAGATAATATTTTATTTATCTTGATGAATGGACTATAAGGTGGACAGAAAGCTGGCTAGACTGTCAGGCTCAACGGATAGTGATCAATGCCTCCATGTCTAGCTGGCAGCCGGTATCAAGTGGAGTGCCCCAAGGGTCGGTCCTCGGGCCGGTTTTGTTCAATATCTTCATTAATGATCTGGAGGATGGTGTGGATTGTACCCTCAGCAAGTTTGCAGATGACACTAAACTGGGAGGAGCGGTAGATACGCTGGAGGCTAGGGATAGGATACAGAGGGCCCTAGATAAATTAGAGGATTGGGCCAAAAGAAATCTGATGAGGTTCAACAAGGAGAAGTGCAGAGTCCTGCACTTAGGACAGAAGAATCCCATGACCGCTACAGACTAGGGACCGAATGGCTAGGCAGCAGTTCTGCAGAAAAGGACCTAGGGGTTACAGTGGATGAGAAAATGGATATGAGTCAACAGTGTGGCCTTGTTGCCAAGAAGGCCAATGGCATTTTGGGATGTATAAGTAGGGGCATTGCCTGCAGATTGAGGGACGTGATTGTTCCCCTCTATTCAACATTGGTGAGACCTCATCTGGAGTACTGTGTCCAGTTTTGGACCCCACACTACAAGAAGGATGTGGATAAATTGGAGAGAGTCCAGCGGAGGGCAACAAAAATGATTAGGGGACTGGAACACATGACTTATGAGGAGAGGCTGAGGGAGCTGGGACTATTTAGTCTGCGGAAGAGAAGAATGAGGGGGGATTTGATAGCTGCTTTCAACTACCTGAAAGGGGGTTCCAAAGAGGATGGAACTAGACTGGTCTCAGTGGTAGCAGATGACAGGACAAGGAGTAATGGTCTCAAGTTGCAGTGGGGGAGGTTTAGGTTGGATATTGGGAAAAACTTTTTCACTAAGAGGGTGGTGAAACACCGCAATGCGTTACCTAGGAAGGTGATGGAATCTCCTTCCTTAGAAGTTTTTAAGGTCAGGGTTGACAAAGCCCTGGCTGGGTGATTTAGTTGGGGATTGGTCCTGCATTGAGCAGGGGGTTGGACTAGATGACCTCCTGAGGTCCCTTCCAACCCTGATAGTCTATGATTCTATGATTTATCTACCTTCCACAATGTTTTAGGAATCAGTTAATATTTGTGTAGTGCTTTGAGCATTTAAAACCCCTATGTAAGTGCTAAATAATATTAAAAAAGAGGAGTTCATGAACTTAATCAGAGAAGCTGGAAGATTTATTAAAAGCTGAGCATATTTGCAATCAATATAAAAGACCAGCTAACAAAATACAATCAATGATGTATCAGTCTAACCTATGCCAAGTCGAAAAATAAGACTCCATCCACTCAAGCCAATAGCCTAAAACAAAAGGTTGGCATAATAGGCAAGTCTTGCAATATGCACAGGTTTGCTGGACTGACTGGGGAAAAATGGAAGAATCATGCTTCCAGCACTTAAATTTTCGATAGCATAAGCAAAAGTGTCCCAGATGACCCTAATTGTCAAGAGAGTGCTTAGACACACTGGGAGAAAAATTACCTCATATCACCAAGATTATCCTCACAGAGGTCTTTATTTTATAACGGAAAGTAATCTTCTAGTAAATGACCCTCACCCTCGACCTTTCTTCTGGCCTCAAAATCTAGGTTAAAATATTTCAAGTTTCTATCTTATTGGCAATTTTTTTTACACTGATCAATGCAATCCCATAGTTTGCAATTCAGAATGGGCTTTAAATTAAAGCACTGTCTTAAGATAGATATGGATAAAAGGAATGCTTAACACTCAAAAGACAACTTGCGCCTTGTTTAGGATTATGGTGATTCCAAATAGAAAAAGGACAGAAATGAACATTCAGCCATATTGCTCTTACCTGTTGGATCTTGCTCTTTCTTGACTTTTTTGAACTTTTTGGCTCTCTTCCTTCCCTCTGGAACAGACTCTGCATAGCAATCTGTTTCATCAAGCTCTGTTTCTTGGATTTCTCTCTCTTCCATATCATCAGAGCCAGTTTCCTCTTGAATAGGACTCATACTTCTTTTTCCCATTGTGCTGGTAGCTGTAAAACTGAAATTAAAAAAAGGAAGACAACATGGTCATCTTGATAGAATGAATACAGCAAGAGTATTTAATGAAGCAGGTGGGTCTGGCTGCTTTATACCAAAATTAAAAATATTCAGAGGCCAGCTATAAATTTTAGTAATAATGACAGTTCACCATGTCAACTGCATAAGTTGTCTGAAAAATAATGCAGTCTTAAAATTATCTTTCCAGGTGGAAGATTTGTCTAGCACCAGTGTTCCATAAAACTGATATTCACAATTTCATCTTTTTTAGATGCAGAATGATCCTTTCTTTGTCCAAGAATATTTTATATTTTCCCCCTTACTTTGATCAGGATATATTTTAGCGCCACAATTAAAATCAGGTCTTAAAAAGTAAAGATTTCCTGCATGTAAAATCTATATATCAAAATAAAATTGCACCTTCTCTTGTACCGTATATACTCGATCATAAGCCGGTTCGTTTATAAGCTGACCCCCCGCAAGATGGATAAGTAAAAATGGAAAATTTTTATGACCCATTCGTATACCGACCCTATAATTCAGGGGTCAGCAAACTGGCTCCTGGGCCATCAGGATAAGCCCTTGGTTATGGTTTGTTTACCTCGAGCGTCCGCAGGCACGGAGGTAAACTGAAGTAAACAAAGTGTCACAGTGCGCCAGCTGCTTACCCTGACGGGCCAGGACAGCAACTGGTGGGGAAATTTTTTTGGGGGGGGGGGGGGGGGGGAAGCTGGGTGTCAGGGGAGTAACTCCTGTGACCACCCCTAGCCCAGGACCCCCACACTTTCCCCATCCCATCCCTTCCCACCTTATCTGGGAAGGGCCAGGGGAGAATGTCTCTGGCCTGGCTGGAGCTGCTCCGGCAGGCTGAGCAGCGTGGGCGCAGCCTGCTCCGGCAGGCCAGACCGGGTGGCGCAGCTGAAGCATGCTCTGGTGGGTGGGGCCGAGCGTTAGGGCTCCAGCGTGCCAGCCCCAGAGCTGCAGCTGCTTCAGAGGCTGGGGGGGAGAGCAGCGTGACCAGAAGCGGAGAGACTCTGGCCCCGCCTCTTCCCTTCTGGCTCTGCTGGATGTTCCGCCTCTCCTTGCTCCCTCTGTTGGGGGGAGGGGCTGTGTCCCACCTCTCCCCTCTCTACACCCACTCATAAGCTGGCCCCCTTCTCTGATGCTTCCCTTTTACTAAAAAAATTCGGCTTATGAACGAGTATATACGGTACTTACCCATAACAGTCTAAATTCATCAAGACTTGATTAAAAAGCCACGGTCTGAAGAGAATAATTATAACCACATTTTATTCAGAATGCATTGAAATTACACTGCACAAGACAGTTTCACCTTTTAATCCACTATAATTTGCCATTAGAGCAAAAATTCTTGGACATAAAATCAAGGTTAGCAAATATGAGTAACGCAGTACGAAAGTAACCTAGCTCAAAGAAAAATTACGGTAATGTAATTGCTGTGTATCTGAATATCAGATGTTTGCTTAAAAATTACTGTGTACATTTTAATGCTTTTTAAACAAGCCATTTTAAGATTATTATAAATTTATGCTTATGAAGCTTCAAGTTTTCCGTTAATTTAAAATGACATCTCACAGTACAGTATTCACGAGTTCCTAAACAAACGCTCTTACATAAATCAAAATGTAACATCTTCGTTAAAAAGCATATCACATCACATGGCTTTTTTGCACTTAATGACAAGGAAATATGGCTAACAATCCTTCAGAGGAATTCCTGTTTAGTTGTATTTTTTGGCTTCAAGATGAATTTTTTTTTTTGCAGTGGATTCAGGAGAACTTCTCTCTAATTGAGAATGTCTTCTATTCGGACACCCAAAGGCACTAAAATATAAAATATATGATTAAACGTCATGCTCTTTCTTCCACTTCTGGGCCACATACACCGCTTGGTCTGAATGAATAGCTGGATTCTCCTCTCAATAGTCAGAGAAGAGAGGCCTTCCTTTGGGGTCTCTTACAAGATCCTCTCATTAAGTCACACCATGACTACCATTAACAAGCGCTTGAAGGCTATTTAGCTACAAAAATTCAGATGGCCAAAAAAGCAGAAAAGAACTATTTACCATATATATCTACTCTAAACATCATAGTAAATCTGGATTTTGAGTTTTAGACTAAAACTGAAGTGAAAGAAGAGAAGGCAGGACAAGAGGTTTCATGCATTCAGAAAACTAAGAACCCAAACTTGATTCAAGACTTCTAAAAAATAGCTACATAAAAAAATTTGACTTCTGAGGAAAAGTATTAGTTCCAATGAACGAAAACAATGAAAGTGTGGGGAAAAGGAGGGATGAGAGAGATTGAATAGTTATGTATTCTAATCCCATAGTTTACAGGGGTACTCAAAGCACCTGGATCTTAGAAGGGAACCTGCTGTCTTTTCCCAAAACACGTTTTAAATCAGGATCATGACCCTCCCACACAGCTGCACAGAAAGAGTTGCTGCAGCAGTATAGAAAAGGAGTACTTGTGGCACATTTCCAGCACAAATGGCCCAACTTGATTATCATACACATTGTAAGGAGAGTGATCACTTTAGATAAGCTATTACCAGCAGGAGAGTGGGGTGGGAGGAGGTATTTTTTCATGCTTTGTGTGTATATAATAAGATCTTCTAAACTTTCCACAGTATGCATCCGATGAAGTGAGCTGTAGCTCACGAAAGCTTATGCTCAAATAAATTGGTTAGTCTCTAAGGTGCCACAAGTACTCCTTTTCTTTTTGCGAATACAGACTAACACGGCTGTTACTCTGAAACCTGCAGCAATATAGGAATGTGAGTGTTGCTGCAGCATAGAATCATAGAATATCAGGGTTGGAAGGGACCCCAGAAGGTCATCTAGTCCAACCCCCTGCTCGAAGCAGGACCAATTCCCAGTTAAATCATCCCAGCCAGGGCTTTGTCAAGCCTGACCTTAAAAACCTCTAAGGAAGGAGATTCTACCACCTCCCTAGGTAACGCATTCCAGTGTTTCACCACCCTCTTAGTGAAAAAGTTTTTCCGAATATCCAATCTAAACCTCCCCCACTGCAAGTTGAGACCATTACTCCTCGTTCTGTCATCTGCTACCATTGAGAACAGTCTAGAGCCATCCTCTTTGGAATCCCCTTTCAGGTAGTTGAAAGCAGCTATCAAATCCCCCCTCATTCTTCTCTTCTGCAGGCTAAACAATCCCAGCTCCCTCAGCCTCTCCTCATAACTCATGTGTTCCAGACCCCTAATCATTTTTGTTGCCCTTCGCTGGACTCTCTCCAATTTATCCACATCCTTCTTGAAGTGTGGGGCCCAAAACTGGACACAGTACTCCAGATGAGGCCTCACCAATGTCGAATAGAGGGGAACGATCACGTCCCTCGATCTTCTGGCAATGCCCCTACTTATACATCCCAAAATGCCATTGGCCTTCTTGGCAACAAGGGCACACTGCTGACTCATATCCAGCTTCTCGTCCACTGTCACCCCTAGGTCCTTTTCCGCAGAACTGCTGCCTAGCCATTCGGTCCCTAGTCTGTAGCTGTGCATTGGGTTCTTCCGTCCTAAGTGCAGGACCCTGCACTTATCCTTATTGAACCTCATCAGATTTCTTTTGGCCCAATCCTCCAATTTGTCTAGGTCCTTCTGTATCCTTTCCCTCCCCTCCAGCGTATCTACCACTCCTCCCAGTTTAGTATCATCGGCAAACTTGCTGAGAGTGCAATCCACACCATCCTCCAGATCATTTATGAAGATATTGAACAAAACCGGCCCCAGGACCGACCCTTGGGGCACTCCACTTGATACCGGCTGCCAACTAGACATGGAGCCATTGATCACTACCCGTTGAGCCCGACAATCTAGCCAGCTTTCTACCCACCTTATAGTGCATTCATCCAGCCCATACTTCCTTAACTTGCTGACAAGAATACTGTGGGAGACCGTGTCAAAAGCTTTGCTAAAGTCAAGAAACAATACATCCACTGCTTTCCCTTCATCCACAGAACCCGTAATCTCATCATAAAAGGCGATTAGATTAGTCAGGCATGACCTTCCCTTGGTGAATCCATGCTGGCTGTTCCTGATCACTTTCCTCTCATGCAAGTGCTTCAGGATTGATTCTTTGAGGACCTGCTCCATGATTTTTCCAGGGACTGAGGTGAGGCTGACTGGCCTGTAGTTCCCAGGATCCTCCTTCTTCCCTTTTTTAAAGATTGGCACTACATTAGCCTTTTTCCAGTCATCCGGGACTTCCCCCGTTCGCCACGAGTTTTCAAAGATAATGGCCAATGGCTCTGCAATCACAGCCGCCAATTCCTTCAGCACTCTCGGATGCAACTCGTCCAGCCCCATGGACTTGTGCACGTCCAGCTTTTCTAAATAGTCCCTAACCACCTCTATCTCCACAGAGGGCTGGCCATCTCTTCCCCATTTTGCGATGCCCAGCGTAGCAGTCTGGGAGCTGACCTTGTTAGTGAAAACAGAGGCAAAAAAAGCATTGAGTACATTAGCTTTTTCCACATCCTCTGTCACTAGGTTGCCTCCCTCATTCAGTAAGGGGCCCACACTTTCCTTGGCTTTCTTCTTGTTGCCAACATACCTGAAGAAACCCTTCTTGTTACTCTTGACATCTCTGGCTAGCTGCAGCTCCAGGTGCGATTTGGCCCTCCTGATATCATTCCTACATGCCCGAGCAATATTTTTATACTCTTCCCTGGTCATATGTCCAACCTTCCACTTCTTGTAAGCTTCTTTTTTATGTTTAAGATCCGCTAGGATTTCACCATTAAGCCAAGCTGGTCGCCTGCCATATTTACTATTCTTTCGACTCATCGGGATGGTTTGTCCCTGTAACCTCAACAGGGATTCCTTGAAATACAGCCAGCTCTCCTGGACTCCTTTCCCCTTCAAGTCAGTCCCCCAGGGGATCCTGGCCATCCGTTCCCTGAGGGAGTCGAAGTCTGCTTTCCTGAAGTCCAGGGTCCGTATCCTGCTGCTTACCTT